TGCTTGTTGACTTTACTTAGGGCAGGTATGACCTGTTTTAACCACTCAACTTTTAAACCCATCAACAGGTGGGCCATTTTAGTGTTTTCTGCTTTGACCTCAGACTTCTCTTCTGGTGGAGTTCACAGTTACTGCCCCTTGTATGTTAATCTGTGTTACGATATTGCTTCATTTGCCATCTCTGTTCAGTTGATGCTTAAAAACTAGAAAATGAACTGAAAGTATTCGATATATGTACTCTTAGGTGTACGTTTGAAAAAGACTGGTAACCTATATTACGTCTTGCTTCGTCACAAAGCTAGTAATGTGACGTATCCGATAATTTTCAGTACTGAAAATTGAAATGTTGTTAGAAACGAGGCACGGAACTAAATTTTGTTAACTTGATATACTTTTGTATTTTCTCAAGCCTTCTTTCCATTCACTTGCTTTAAACTGACCCAAAACTTGCAGTTAGCGCGTTCGATTAAGGACCGAAGAGTTTGGGCTCGAGTTTCGTGCAGACCATTTAAGTTATAGTGTTTAACAATAATTTTTTAATGTCAACCAAACTTATAAATGGGAGCCGCTGAAATGTCAGGGAACAAAATCCTGAGGGATCAGCAGTGATAGAATATCATTTTCTCCAGGAGAAAAGGCAATTTATCAAGTCGCCTCTTGCTACCCGAGCCGTAGTAGAGTCCTAAACAAAATTCGACCATTTGGCTGAACTTTTTTGAATTTGAGATTACACTCTATGTAACGAGTGAAAAATACTCAAAAACTCGTGGAAATTCATTATGGCTTCTTTATTTGTTCCTTAAATCTCACAAGAAACTTTTCATCTACCCTCTACATAGCCCGAGCTGTTTTGACGAGTTGCATTCAAACTTCTCGCTTTTTTAACGAATCGACAGGTACCGCAGGCCAAGGCCAAAAGGCGTTCTTGGTTTTAGCCATGGTTGCATTCAGCCATTCCATCTCAGGAAATGCGCGTACAAGTACTTTCCTCATGTTTGTGTCTTTAATCCACTTCAAGCCTTCGGGCGAGTAAGTCTCGTTGTTGAAATTGTTCGTCATAAACCTGGAAAATAAATGCCATCGTCATTATCCTGTATCGCAACATACCATTATGGACACCGTGTCTTTTCGCTTTACAGGGAGAAAAAGTGACAAAGTAGATAGCATATTTCAATAATAATTATTAAAAGGTAGGAACAGATTTCTTTTGTTAAGATCTTGGTAAAGACAGATGAGAGATCGTGAACACATTTTAATACAAACTCGCCACTTGCTAGTAGACTTTCTCGTTTTTCAAATGTCTTCCAAGTCTGCCTCATTTTTCACTCTGTGCTACCACCGAGTGTCGCAAAACTAAAACTAAGGTTATCCAATGGTCAAAGTGAACAATGAAAAATGTAATAATGAACCAGTGACACTTCATAACTGCAAGGATAAGAAAACTGCATGAAGCGTGCTTAAAAAAGTGATCAAGTCGCAATTTGTTTTATTTTTCTATTTGATGGGCTGATGCAAATACGCAGTGAAAGCAAAGCAATCCTGGGTCACTTTCGACGCACGATTAAAATTGCGCAAAGGGGCCAATCTACTGACAGAACGTCTGGCTCGTTCGCGAACAGGGTAATACAAACACGTGAATGAAATGGTATCATGTTCTTAATTGCGACAATCTTTATTTATTAATTCACTGAGGTTTGGAACAAACATCAAAGCAAGGACGTTTCTTTGTGAAGTTAACTGTCACTGACCTGTCTGCCTCCACTCTCCGAGTGGCCATAGTAACAAATATTCTGAAAGGTGTATCACCAAAACCCCACCCAACTGGTAAAGGGTCCTCTGCAAGACAACCTATCAACAGGTCTACTTTCTCGATATCGTCGTCGTACAGCTCCTTGAGTAGCACCTGGTGCTTTATATTTCTTGTAAGCTTTTCAAATGTTTCAGCGGGAGGGAGATTTATCAGTCTTCTGAATTCATTGTACCGTGGGATTCCTCTCTCGCGGTCACGCAATATGTCAATTGTTGCGAGGTCGATTGTCTATTAAATGATAAACGATGACGAATGTAAATGAAAATTGTATCAAAATCAGGCCACGCTCACTAACTAAGATTCAGGGGAAAATTTTGGGGACATGGTCCTCATTGTCACTGAGGCTCATCGTCCTTCCTTCATGCAATAGTGGCTTAACAATAAAAATCAAACATTATTTTGATCGTAATAAGCAGCTTGCAAGAGAAAAGGAGAGTTAAATAAGGCTGGTTACGTCTCCACGAATTTATACATTCTGCCTCTGACTGTATTTGCCATGCATTGGACATACAATAACGCAACTGAGATATCGATAGTGTTCAAAATGAACTTGACGTTTTCGCAAGACCTAAAACACACGATTTGGCATGATAATTCTAATAACTAAATGCAAAATAAAAGAAAATAACAACAACAAACAGCAGCAGCAACCAACACACACGCACGCACACACAAAAAAACTTATTTGAATTTTATGTTCTTCACTTAACATTTGCTGTTGACTCCAGTCTATCATGATAGCACAATTAGCCTGATTTGGTTCTTCTACTTCATACATAGAGTTATTGATCCAACTCTTGTCCCATCCTTCATACTCCCACCCCACGCTTTTTCTTTTTCTTCCCATTTTTTACCGAAAAACCTTCCCCTTAGATTTTTTGTACCTCTCCATCTTGCTGATGATTGGGTAACGTTAGGTTCCTGAGGTGTGTAGGGTAGTTATGAAGACGAAGTGCGCCTGGATGCTCCACACCGAATGTAAACACAATGTCGTCTATGCTGTTCTCTATTGCGATGGTCCTGGCCCCAGCAAAAGAAAATTCTGGGAGTGAGTACGATTTTCCTGTCCTCTTACCACTTGAGGCACTTCGAAGATATAGATCATCAGGCAGAAATGGGTGCATTCGATACACTGCTGAAAATTCCTCTGTCAAGGAGAAAGGAACCCCATGGTACTCACTTGGCTGTCCCACGAGAGGCTTCAGTATATCAGCGCTCGCTGATACACTGATGTTGTGATTAGCCATCCAATCATAAATTTCCTTTTCGAGTGGCATGTCAAAATTCAAATATACTCCGTTGCGGAGAGCAGAGCTGTTTAAGACAGCTGGGGTCCATTCCACCGTGTGAATTTTCTGAAGCCCGGCAGCGTTGATCAACCAGTGGGAGAAATTAAAAGGAAGAAATATATAAAGAACATGGAAAGCTTTCATTTGAAACTAATAGGCGTTAATATGTCGTCCACCACATTTGCTAAGGTAATTAAATGATTTCTAATAAAATTTTGAAATTAATTTGCACGAGTAAATTTCTAAAAGGTTTAAAAAAATTTGCGAGAGCTGATGTATACCTAATTGCATGAGATAAATCCTGCGATTGCTTGTTAAAAAAATGCATGCAAAACTTTGCCTCTGTTTTTGTCCTTCGAGCTTTTCAACTCTTTACTCTTTCTTCCCTCGTGTTGCTTAATGGCAGTAACAACTGCACGGAGGCTGCATGGCTCGTAATCTTCCGGGTCTTCTTTTCGAACTGTTGCGAAAAGCTCCTCGGGAATTTTGTGTTATGCTTCCAGTTCCCTCTTTTCACTACTGTTTTCTAGTCAAACCCCTTGAGAGGCCCATGAATTCCACACTAAGTTAGTTATCGGTGTTTTGTCGGGAGCTTTTGTTTTCTGCATTCTTCTTCGAATTCTTAATAAAAATGATATTATTTTGTTCTAGTCTGTCCACTATTTTGTTTTGTTGCGCTTGCGCAACTTCCCTGCCAATCAATGTAATTCGATTTACTGCACCCAATGCAACCCTTTTAGTCTTAATTTCATCTTTCTACATGGAGATTATTTAACATGTGATCTCAGCCAAAGAGCGCGAAAAAATTTTTAACATGTATATTAAAAAAGTAAGAACTATGTGTTACTCTAAGTATCTTTTCAGAAACTCAGGATTATTCTTTCTCTAAAAGAAGTTAGGTAGGGATACCAATTTGTCAAAACTGAAATGAAAAAATCGAGGAAAAAGCAGCGAAAAGGGTTCAGGAATGAGAGAAATTACACGGATTGCAAATAACAAACCAAGTTGAGCCGAGGGCGATGGAAGAAGTTTATCCATTCTGTAATCTTTTTATATTTAAAACGCAGGCTCACATTAATGAGAGTCCCAGCCAAAATGTTTGATTTTCTTACATCCATTGTTGTTTGGCAATTACGCCTAATACTTATGTCAGCAAACACGCCTACTCTAAAAGTCGCTTGCTAAGTTAAACATGGTACTACCTGGCAGTGTTGTACAATTTCTGGTCATCCCAATGAGGATAATGCGATTTCAACATGTCACAGATAGAATTGTGCTCCCGGGTAAATATGTTGTGCAGAAGAGAGAGACCGATCCACCAATTCTGATTAAAACCTAAGAAATTACAAGTCGTATAGGTGAATACTCTGGGATAAGCTAACCAATGATCACAAGCAAGAGGATTAACATCTTTTAGTTAAAATACCGACCGTGGTCCGCACGGGTAACATGCTATTTGAAGTTCCCAACAAAAAGGAAGGACAATTATGCTCCAATTCTTGCTCTGAATAAGCTATTATGCTAAAATGAAATCGCTAACAGTTGTAAATCCTAAATGAACTGTGAGTCAAATTCAAGTGAAATAATCCTCGCAGGTGTGCTACAATTAAGCAATTGCGTGTGTCAGAAGCGCCCAACAAAAATTTGAGAAACACAGGCTTGTACCGCGTGGAAGCCTTATCATTTTCATGCCGCTTTTCCTGAGAGGATCATTTATCTATCAAGTTATTAATCCATATCCATCCTGGCAAAACAAGTTCAGTGCGATCATTAAAA